GTGCATTCCTTTCCTGGAGGCTTTAGGGGAGACTCCATTTCGGTCACCCACTTTCCTTGCCTTACAGTTCCCTCCTCAAAGCCAGGAAGTGGGGCTGAGTCTCTTTGTTGCCATCTCCGACCCTTCCTACTGAATCCATCTTCCACTTTTAAGGACCCTTGTGATTACATTGGGCCCACCCAGACAATCCAGGGTAATCTTCCTACTTTAAGGTCCACTGACTAGCAACCCAAATTCCATCTGTGATCTCATTTCCCCTTTGCTATGTAACAAAATATATTTACAGAGCCCAGGGATTAGTATGTAGGCAACTTTGGGGGCTATTAATTCTACTTAGCACAGCTCTTGACTCAAAAATTGGAGCTTAGTTGTGGGTGAACAAATCAATATTAAATGTTTGGAGTTAGGAAGCATCTCAGGCCATGCTTAAATATATTTAAAATAGAGAAGAAAATGGAGTAACAAATGAAACCAGCTCTAACACACGTAACATTTGTCTATGCATGTGTATTAACATGTAAAATTAGTTAACTGGTAAATTTACTCATCTGCTCTTAGTTTTGAATAGTGGGTGTGTTTTTAAAGAAGGATATGAATCAAGTTTAAATACCTTATGAGACCCTTGCTTAATGAACTAGATCTTATTAAAACAAGTAGTTTAAGTTTTCACTTTTGAAAGTACCAGTTGTGCTGTTCCCATCTCCTCAGATCCCTCTAGAACAGTGGTCAGGTTGCCACTTACCTATGACTTCCAAGGACAGTGTAGACAGTCAACTCTTGACTTTCATCTCCCACAGCATTATGAGTGACCTTGGTTACTGCTTTTAAAAAGATGCCAGACTCCCTAACTCTTGGATTCTTGTTTCATAAAGAATTTCAGTAATTCATGTAGAGCAAGGAGGCCATGAATGGGTGAATTGAAAAATATTAGGTCAATGGCTAGGAATGCTCGGAGATTCCTCATCCTAGAGATTCAGAACCAGAGTCATTGGGGGAAATCACATTATGTGTAAAGAAAAGGTTGTGAATCCAATATCACTCCCAATATCCCCCAATACCTTTACTTTTCTGGATATATAGGTATATCTGTCCTTTAGAATTCCTTTTTTAAAGGAAGTGCTTTTCTCCCCAAAGTAATGATTTTTTTGCAGCAATTTATTCTTCAAAAAAATATCATTGCTATCCCCTGGCTTAATTATTTCACCTCATTTTTAAAAAGTGTTGTCATGTTTACATTGAATACTATTTCAGAAGCATAATGACATTTACAGTAAAGTTATCTCAAAGGCCTTTCTGTATCAATTACTTGGATTTTTGCTGGAAAGACATATCACATAGGAAATCTGTAACACCATTATCACTAGGATAGCCAAAACAAATGATTTTGATAATCTGCCATCAGAAGCTTTGGATTTTAAAGTGAAAAAAAAAAATTCGTCAAGTCATTTTGACTTACAGGGGAATCCCAAGGTGGCAGTTTTCAGTTCTTATACATCTTGTGTCTATCCTGCAAGCATTTGATAGATTCTTGGAATTCAACGGTGAGGAATGCCGTTAGCCTCAATCTCTCGGATCTTGCACTGTAGTGTAGGAGACAAGTGATTGCATCTCAATGTAAAATTGCAGCTGTGAGAAGCAGCTTTAAAGCAACAATGCTCAAGCTTTATGGTTTCAGGACTCCTTTACACTCTTAAAACTTACTGAGAGTAACAAAGGAGCTTTTGTTAGCATACAAGAAATTAAAAGGTTATAAATTAAAATTTTTATTTATTTTTAATTAATTTTATTAATTAATAAATAAAAATTAATTAAATAAATCATGTGTTACTATAACATTTTCTGTGAAAAATATATTCCAAACTATATCAGCTTAGTAAGCAGAGTGTCATTGTTTTCATTTTTTACACATCTCCAGTGTGTGACTCATGCAGATTCTCTTTTCTGCATCTGCATTCTGTTTTGAAATCTGTCATTTCGTTTGAAATATGAAGAAAATCTGTTTTCACATAGATTTGTTATTGGGAAAGGAAGTATTCTGTGGACCCAGTGAAAAGATCTCAGGGGGCTCAGAGATCCTTGGACTACAGTTTGGGAAGTGCTGCTGTAAAGAAAGGCACCCTATTATGAGAGGATGTGCGGCATATGAGAGGATGTAGTGGCATGTGGTTCAGGCAGAGTTTCCTTGAAGCTTTTGTAATCTTCCATGAAAGCATTCTTGCCTCTTTACATGTATATATTTAAAAGTTAAATTTGGTTATCAGCTACCAAAGGAATTCTTTTTTAGAGCAGTTACCTCATGATTGGAATGTTGTCCAAAGTTAAATGAAATGTTAGGAATCAAAAAACAAACGTAGGTTTAAGTTTTTCAGGAAATAGTGGACTGGGTGTGTTGCGTGGTTTGTGCTAAAAAAACCAACCAACCTTGGTTCAGTGTATAGACATTCTGCATTTCTACCACACATTACGTTTTGCTCACTTTCTAATGATAATAGGAATAGTTGGGGCAATTAGTGCCACAGTTCTTAACTTTGGTTCTAGGACCTTTCAAGAATGTCTATAGCTTTCTGTAAAATTTTTCATATGAGAGAGACAAATAGCTTACTAGTTTCTTTGTATAAGCGAGAATCTGCATCGGCAGTTTTGCTTATTAACAGCATTGAAAAGTTAACTGTGCATCAGTCTTCCTGTCTGTAAAGTATTCATCAAATACATTTTTCCTTTCAAACTTCACATGATGCTTATTACTCAGTTTTGGGTTTTTTTCCCCTCCACATGCTCAATTCTGTTAGTGCTTTGGTCAGTCATGTGTTGTCAGTTGCTTTCTTGGTGAAACAATTGTCTTGAATATCAAACTCTGAAAATGCTGAGTAACACCAGCAGATGCGTGCCTCCCAGTCAGCAGTGGTGGAGTTGGGGTGGTGGTGAAAATGCTGTTCACAGTCACGTCGGTAACTGGTGTTTGAGCAAAATGGGCTTTCTCAGTTAACGCTTAATCGTACAGATGTTGTTGCTACTGTATCGGTGGCATTCTTTAGAACCTGTTTTAAGCTCAATTTTGAGACCTGTAGACTTGAAAAGGTAAGTGTAAATGAAGTTTAATGGTTAAATTTGATCAGTTACATAAGTACATGGTTTAAAAGGTAAGTAATTCCATAAGGTTCACAAACAAAGCCCAATAGCGTCTGCACTATTCTTTCCAGAGGCAACTATTTTCAATTAAAATAGACATTTCTTAGGGTATTTGTCTTCTTATTTAGAAGTATTATGTTGATGCTGTTATTTTTTTTTAAAGTTAAACCAGTATTTATTAAGGACATGCTGTGGGAGATAAGATTCAGCCCTCACCAGCCAGCTCTATCTACTTGCTGTACCTTCTGCCTTCCTACATTCATGCAATAATTTTTGGCTTAAATCCATATTCTAATCTCATATTATTGCTATTATGTAAATAGTCATAGCTGAGCCATGTAACAGAACATGGCTCTATTTCCTTTCTACCTTAATTTTTACTTTTCCTTTAATAACTTTTGTCTTACTGTCTTACGTTTCATTGTATAGATCACTAATTCATTCTCATCTCAATTTTATTTAAAAACAATTAACAGGTGTATAAGCACTAAATGCATTGATTAGAGTGAAAATTTAGGAATCAACATGCATACAGATAAATTGGATACAGGAAAAAAACCCAAAAACTTTAGTTACTTTTAAAAGGTTATAAGAAAGATATGTTAGCATTTAGACAGTTTCAAGTAAAAGTCTACAGTTGATTTCCAGTAAACAGTGGTCCAAAGAAATAACTGAAAATAACTACACTTACATAAATATTTTGTATATTAGTATGCCAATATGAATTTGTATAACCTAATTTTGTTCATCTCCATCATAAATGTTGTATCCTTCCAACTTAATTAACTCAATTTTCTTTGAATCCTGAAAAAATACATCTTTAATTTTGCCAACAAAATCTCTTTTAAAGATCTCTTGAGTAACAATATTTACCTTTCAACCATATTCAAAGCCCCCTAGATAACTAATACCATCATAGTTTAGAGCAACAAATTTTTTTTGTGGATCAATATCCTCAGAGAAGATTAGATGGTCATCTAGGTAGGCCTTAATAAGAGTCTGATTTTGAATTACAATTATGTGGTGCCATTTATTACAACAGAGTGCACCATTACTATAAATCATAGGCACAGAAAAGCTTCCTCCTAAGTTAGCTGCTATTTTCAAGGTCTGATTATGGAGACCAATTGCCAGAAAGTCATTTTCCTCATTTTGAGCTTTTCCTATCCATACAATTAAGCCTTCTGTTTCAGTAGTACTAAAATTGAAGGATGCAGTTGTGAACTGAAGGTTTCTCATTCTGTAATCTGGATCAGTGTACTTAATGTAAGAATTACCCATAAATTTTGCAGTTGAAACTGAAGTTTTATTTTCACAATACCTTCCTATCCAACCCAAAGCACACAGACAACTGTAAGAAAATGGTTGATCAGGTATACATAGAGATTGGTGGAGACAAAGATTATTCAAACAGTACACGAACTGGTCACACGTATTTCCAGCCCAATGTGGCAAACATCTGCAAGAAAAAGTTGTGCCATTTACTATACATTCACCCCTATTTTTGCACACGTACCCACAGGCTGTCCCATCACAGTCACCTACATTTGAGCCATCTTTTGCTTCTAATTCAGTTAATTGTAACTCTTGGTTGTTTATAATAACTTCTTGAACACAACCTTGAAAACCTATGGGTTCATTTGCTGTTGCCATTGGATTTACAAGATGTAAGGATGACACTCCTCCAACATAGAAGTCAGTATTTGTGTCCAGGAAGCTCATTTTAGAGTTGGCTTTTTCTGTTATGTTTATCCCATCCAGATCTAGGTAGCCTTCTGCACCCACTCTTCCGGCTTTAATAACATGCCAAGTACTTCCGTTAGTAGTTACTTTTTGGATCGTTTCTGGAATGACTGTTCTGTCACCAAGGTTGTAGCGAAGTTGAGCAGAACCATTTACTAAAGAGATACATAAAAAATCACCTGTTGACAAAGAAAACCAGTTTAATTATTAACAGTAAAATGTTACTTCCATAAAAACCCTTTCTGGTCACATGAGTAAGTTTTGGTTTTGGGGGGAAAAAGGCAACAAGTCTTGATTGTGATTACGTTAGGGAGTTTTGTTTCCTTTTACAGATGAAAATACATGTATATGTTCATGCATATATCCTGTATTCTTTTGTTCAGAAATTGGTCACACAAGATTTCTCTCGTAAATATTTTGCACTGAATAAATGTACTAAGTTAAAGTGAGGTTTTTCTCTAATGATTTTAGTTAAGGGTGAATGTGTAAAAATAAGTAATTTGGATATTTAACTCCAAGCCACTGGTTCTGTTTTGGCAGAGATTGGGGAGGTGAGCGGGAGAAGTAGGGCAGTAGGACTGTAAAGCCTCTTGTACTCTCTGCAGAGTTTCAGCCATGCCCTTGGCATCATGTTCTGTCTACAGGTATACAGATCGTTAGCTGAGATCCCTGCATAGGTCTTGTAAAGGCACCTTAAGCTTCAAAGTTCCTGTCTAAGTTTGTGAGCTTCCTTGCATGCACCTGGCCTCCTCCAGTTTTCCCAAACTCAGTCACTCATCCATTCCAGCTTTTCAAAATTGTGGGTGTATTCCTTGATTCTGTCATTTCTTTGATCCACACAGAATCTATCAAAGATAGGTCTCTAATCAAATATTAGCATTTGGTTCATTGTAAACATCTTGATTTTGTTCACTTCTCTCCTCCTACCTTATATTTACTGTCTTCTCTAACTTGAACTACTGATGGAGCCTCCCTACTCCTTTCTTTACCATTGGTTTTCTAATCTACGCTGAAGCTAAAGTGATCTGCTGATAATATGCTGTCCTTTAATGGCACACTGTTGTTGGGATAAGAACCTAAAATCTTGAACGTATCTATAGAGGCTCTTCAGATCCAGCCTTACCTGGAGAGCATTTTCCCTCATCCTCTCTACCCCAGCAACACTGACCTTGTTAAGAGTTTATCCTTTTGTTTCAGAACCTTCGGGCATGTTCTCTTGGAGCCCTCTTACTCCATTCCACCTCATCAAGGTAATTCATACCCATCTTGCAGATCTCAGATCACAAGCCGCTTCCTCATAGAAGTCTTCCTTGATTCTCCAGAGTTGGTTAGGTTTGTACTATTAGTGCTTTAATAGCACCAGGTTTCTCTCCTTCACAGTCTTTATCTTATTTTACAATTGTATAGTCCTGTGTGAACAGAACTAAACAGTTATGGTCCAGCAGTTGTACAAAGCTGCAATGAGGCATTCAGAGGAAAAGTAAATGCAACTACATGCCTGGGAAAAGAATGTAGCCCTTCAGTGTAAAATTGCAAGAGGGTAGCAAAGGGCTTTACATGACAAACCATGTGGACATCTTCAAGACAGCATTTCCCCTTGCTGCTAACATTTCACAAGCAATAAAAATTTCTTTCCTTTTTCTTTCAGGGAACATGCTACTCTTATTTCTTTACTTTTTCTCCTCCTGGAGTACCATGCTTCCTCACCTCCCTCCCACAAAGAGTGTCTTGTCTTTCTACTCCTCTTTGTGGTCCACACCAGGTCATTCTAGGATGGCAGCACTCCAGTCCTACACCTATCGTTTCCACCTGGGAAAAGTACTTGAGCCCATGCAAAATACGGTTCTCTTGCTTTAATCATTTTCTTTGTAGAGAATTTCTAGTGAATATAATCTATGTCATATCTGTGGTTATTTGATTAACAGCTGCCTCATCCAATAGTTTGGAAGCTTCATGAGAACAGGGTCTGTGTCTGATTTGGTCCGGCTGTTTATCCCTAGAACATAGCACAATTAGATGCTCAGTAAATAATTTTTGAATTAAGAAATGTTTTTATATAGTTGTGGGGTGATATGACTCAAGAGTTTTTCTCAAATACTGGTTTTAGACTGAAAGCAAAAAAATCAAAAACATTTTTTTCCTATAATAGTAAATTAAAAAATTTCCCAATAAAAGGAAGAAATTCAGTTTATTCATATTTTTCTAACATGAACAGCACTTTAAAGAAGAGAGAAGCAGCATTACAAACTTAGGTTATAGAAGAAAAAGATCGAACCATTTAAATTTTGTATACCACAGGAAACTAAGAACAGTGAAGTATGATTGATACTAAGTTTTAAATACGCCGTCTGAATATACTTTGTGGCCTACAAGTGGACACAAACCAGTTCTCTCTCACAGGGTTACGGAAGAAGTTTCTCTTGCTGCTGTGTTGTAGAGTGTCTTACATGATAAACAGTCTTACAGGAAGAGCTACATTTGAATAAAGAGTATCTTAAAAAATGATTAAGAAAGTTGAATATGTGATCTATAATATCACTGGTCAAGTTGCCAACCAGAAGAAAGTGAAAAAATAGATTCAGCTGAGAAAATCTTATTTTAACAACAGCTTTGCTGATACGGAAGCTCTGCTCTTTTAACTGTATTAGCTTTTTGTCGTGAACCTGGTATTTTAGTTGACTAGAATATGGTAGTGTCGGCATGGATGTTGAGTACAGATTGGCATTTAGGGAAGTAAATGCTCAAAAATCCATCAGTGGTAGGCAGTCCTTATAAGAAACTGAGTTCATAAGTGGAACAAAGGTCATTAATTAATTCACCTTGGCTCTTCAGTGCCTGTTTAACCATGTGTAGGGGCCGGCCCTCCCTCCTCTCTGCTACCAGTTCCTCCACCCCATCACTTGTTGCTCCTACCGTGTATTACAGATCAAAGAAACCTTGTATGACCTAACATTTGGGAAGAGACTACAGAAGCAGCATGCTAGGGGAATTTTATATATATATTTTTTTTCCTAGAAGAGGAAAGCAAAAGTAATGTTAACTTATTTATCTTTTATTGTTTGTTTGAATATGCTTTAACTTTAAATTGTGGATGACTAGGCTTTTTAAAAACATTTGTGAGGATTATAAAACTACATCAAGATGAAGTCAGTCTATCTGTGATTAATTTGTGCCTAATATAATTTTCATGTATCAAAAAAGTCTTTAAGATACTAAATAGCAGAAACAGATAAATAGGTGCCAAAGTCTTATCTCTTTAAAATCTCTCTCCAAAATGTAAAATCAAGTAGGATAATTTTCATATTGTCATTTTGTTTTAAATTTTATATTATTTGAGATTATTAAAATTTAGCCTCTAAAGAGACATAGAAGACTTGTTAATTAAGAGTTTGTTTTCCACATAAGAAAACCTAATTGGCTGCTGGTATATACATTTGTGGTCTTTTATGTTGTGAATTAAGTTTTTGGGCATTTCTTAGTAACAGCTCCTCTTAACAGAAGATCATTTAGAAGCCTTGGTCACTGTTTACATCAGACATAGCTTATTGAAGGTACAAAGTATAAGATAGTCATCTGTACTTATGCAACCTTAAATGAAACATACTTCAACACTTGATTACACCACTTAATTACTAATATAAATAAGTTAATGCCTTTCATTTGATAACTACCTTTAGGTTAATCTAAGAATGTGAAGCTTAGATATTTTAATATTAAAGTTGTGATTTCCTTACATAAGTGTCAAGTGCAGCACCAATCATGACATGACACTTAAATCTATAGTCATCACTCTAAATAGTGTCTAATGACAGTGTCTAAAAGGAAAATCTTTATGTCATGAACTGACCTACAATATCATTTCATAATGTGACAAGATGTGCTCTTCCTCTCTAGTGTGTTAATGTTTATAAGATTTTTATTTTATATGTGTAAATACAAATAAGTATGCAGTATACTAATTTTAAACTAGTACAACATTCTTGGCCATTCACAATCTTTAATATCTCTATTTTTGTGCCCTTATCAGAGCAAGGTTAACCTTGGGTTTTTTTATGAGCAATTTAACTGAAGCTGATTGCTTTTAATATCCCTTGATTTATAAATAGAAAATTCTGTTCGGGCATGATTCTCTCATTTGGCATTTTCACAAGGAGACTTAAGATAATCATTAATTTAGTACTAAAATATCAACTCTCTGGAGAAGAGATCTCTTCTAAGGCATATTTTGTAGCTCAGTCATATTACTGTTTTTCTTTGAAATGATCTTGAAATTATTTTGATTATGTTTGACCAGCACATTGAGATGGAACCACTTTGGTTTAATTCTCTATTTTCATCATTTAGTAGCATGTTAAGACACCTTTAAAAGAACTACTTAGACTGTGAAAATCAGGGCATCATTTTTTGTTGACTGTGAGAAACAAAAACAGATTTAATTATTTCTCAATGTCAAAATTTCATTTTCTGAGGAACAAGATGAAAGAAAAAGCCAAATGTATAATTTATATTTTGCAGAAATGTAAAACATATGTAAATATCTTTATAAGTTCTGGGGAAAGATATGAAAATGGGAACCAGGAGTAAAATAATAAAAATTCTAAAACGACTTTCAAATTGGACCACAGTACTTGGATATTTTTATTCCCAAATATTTTATGATAATTCCTCAGGTTTTTACAGTTAAGAAACATTTTTATAAACTTACTATGGAATGTAGATCCTAGGTTTAATATTTAGATGACAGAATAACTTGAAGAAAAATGTGGATGGATTTACTGGAAATATATCAGTCATGCCTTGCCTTTATCTTTTATATGCATATTTTGTTCCTTTTGATATAGGACTATCATGCATGGTTTCAACCTCTGGATTGTTATAAAGCTGAACATATACCGTGATTGGATTTTGCTAAATTTAATTCTCACATAAGTCTTGCTATTTTATTGACAGTTATATTTAGACATAAACATATACTTGGAGTGACAATAAAACATGAAAGTTAATTTTTTACATATTTTATAAGTTCAGTTGACAAAAAAAATAAGACTCCATGACACTTTACTTAATAGACTATTTGGAATTCACTAGCATTTTTATTTCTTTTGCAAACAAAGATCCTGCCAACTTTACCTGATTGTGCTTTTAAGTGTTGTGCAACGTAGAATAGGATACCATCTGCAGAAAGAGGACGAAACTGCAACTGAATATGTGTCTTTTTTCGAATATGAAAGGCAGCAAAAGACATCCAGGATAGCTCATGGCTTCTAAAAGACGGATCACTTACAGATAAAGCTAAAACAAACCAAAATAAAAACCTGAGTTCCAGAGAACAGTATTGCTCATCAATACAATTCACATAATTGTGTTATTTAAGAACTTAACTTATCTTCAAGAGTTGCTCCTAGCCAAATAAATTAAACATTGCTAAGTGTGTTCTAATCCCACTAACTAGACTTTTTGTAATGGGGCCAATTACTGGAAATCCTGTCATGACTTCAGGTAACTTCCTTTGGCTGGTGCTACAGTACAGATCCTCTGTTGTCGAATGCATTATAGGGAGACGCCAGATGCATAGATTCTGAGAATGTCTTACTTTTATCTCAAGAATGTGAGATTCTTGGGGCTGTCTTACATTAATCTTTCAAAAAGATTCAAATAATGAAGGATACAAATCATCACTGAATTATTTGGTTTCTGTATTTATGTAAAATACAGAGGATCATCAAGTCAAGGCAGATTTTGAGTGATTATATAAATGGAAATGGCAGTTTATTTGACCATACTTTAGGTTCATATCTTGTCAGAAAGTGTTAATGCTGGAGTTTGACTTGATGTTAAACATGAGAAAATTCATTATGAATTGAAGTAGGATCATAATGATTTGTAGTCCCTCAGGTGGTACTTGTTTCTTCCAGATGGGAATTAATGAGAGGAAGGAGAGTTCTTAGCATTTGGTGGTTTTTATCTCTGTGGAATCTATGTTCCTTCTTTGTTACTCATTTTTTTATAATATGACAGGGCTTAGAGTGTATATGCTTGTTCACCATGTCTTTGAGCCATTTATCTAGTCACACATTTCTCTCCCTTTGGCTGGGGCTTATACTAAGTTGTCTTTCACTTTTAGATTGATAGACAACTGGTAGGTATTTATCCAAGAGGTGTTAGCATTTGTTGACTTTATTTAAAGTAACTATATCATTCATTCTGACTTTCGGCAGCACAGAATCATGGAGGTTAGAGTCAGGGTATGGTTGCTAAGAATGTAGAGTCCTATGCCTCATTCCTGGACAGTCTGATTTTTAAAGCTGAGAGGGGGTCTAGGAAATACATTTTAATAAACACCAAAGAGTTGCTGACGTGGGTGTTTCCTGGACCATATTTTCATAAGTGCTGAGTTATTCTAAATACATAAAGTTTAAGAATACAGGGATGGTTCAAAAGGTAAGTGTCCTTTTGAAATTATTTTTGTAGGTATTATTAAAGTAATACATATTCATTATAAGACCTAGGTAATATAGAAGAGTGTAAAGTAAAAGATGAAATTTTCATCTCATTTGATTAAATGCCAAGGAATGCAGTTGCTGGATTGCTGGTAAGAATATATTTAGTTTTGTAAAATATTGCCCACTGTCTTCCATTTTGCATTCCCACCAGCAGTGAATCAAAGTGCTTGTTGCCTTATACCCCTGCCAGTAATTTGGTTTTGTCAGTGTTTTGGATTTTAGCTGTCTTAATGGTTGTGTAATGGTATCTCGTTGTAATTTGCATTCCCTGAAGACATGAACTTCTTCATATGCTTATTTTCCATCAGTATAACTTCTTTGGTGAGGTGCATGTTCAAAATTTGTGCATTTTTAAATTGGGTATTTCATTTTCTTATTGATGAGTTTTAAGAGTTCTTTGTATATTTTGGAGTAACAGTCCTCTATGAGACATCTTTGGCAAATCTCCAAATCTGTGGCTTGTCTTATTCTTTTGAGAATGTGTCCTTTGCGGAGCAGAAGGTTTTTCATATTAATGAAGTCCAACTTAATTCTTTCTTTCATGGATTGTGTCTTTGGTGTTGTATCTAAAAAGTCATCACCAAACTCAAGGTCATTTAGATTTCCTCCTATTTCATATTTTAGGTGTTTTATAGTTTTGTATTTTACATTTAGATCTGTGATCCATTTTGACTTAATTTTTGAGAAGAGGATAATATCTGTGTCTAAATTATTACTATTTTTTTGCATGTGGACATCCAGTTCTTTCAGCACCATTTGTTTAAAAGACTTTTTCTTTCATTGTATTGCCTCTGCTTTTTTGTCAAAGATCAACTGATGTATTTGTGTGGGCTTAATATTTTATAGAATGGATATAGGATGATTTTCTTAGTTCCTTCACTGAAGGACATCTAAGGCTGTTTCTAATCATGTGCCATTTCTCCTTGTTTCCCATTCCCTCTCTGGTTACATGTGCCTCTGTCTTTTGCATTTTATAATTCTCCAGTGCTTCCCAGTGCTTTTTTTCCTTCTCCCACTCCGCTTTGGTGCATTTCTTTCTGTTGATGATCTCTCATCTAGTTCATGATCTCAAAAACGATAAGTCCTTGAAAATTCATCTTTGTCTAAACCTGTTCTCTGAGCTTCAATTTCATAGAGCCATCTTTCTTGTGGATACGTTGTCTTGGATATCTCAGTCATATCAAGCAATATGTTTGAAATTGTATTGCTCAGAGATATTTTCCCCCCCAGCCATCTTCAGATCAGTAAATGGACCCACCATTCATTCAGGGCTCCATTTGGAGAATTGGTATTCACCCTCTCCAACATTTCCTCTAACTGTTCCAGTGTAAGTGCCTCAGCAGATCTTCTAGATTCTGTATTCCAGATATTAATATGGGCCTTGCTTATTTTGTTTTCAAAATACCTTGCTTGAAGTATTTACATAGTCTCACTTCTCTCAATGGTTGATATCCTTAAAACTAAAAGCTATATATTCAAGAATTTCAGTGTCTATGTTCTTAGGAAAAGAATGGATGTATTTTAATAGATAAAAACAGGTGAAGGTCTATTTTTAATTATTGTACTTTTTGAAACAATGCATAGGTAGTTGATACCTTTTATTCCTATTTATGATTTTATACATTAAATCTTTACAGCTTAAGCAGAGTATTGAAAGTTCTGATGCCTTTTACATGTAAGTGGATCTGCCTGTGGAGACAGGTAGAAGGTACAAATAGGACTTCAAAAAACTCTGATTCACTAAGGAATACCTATCATCACTGAATTAGGTGCAGAACTTTTCCTCTGTTCACTTTGAGGTAGAATTTGGGAAGAGTCCAAGTTTTCCAGTGACTCATGCAAAGTTGTTCTGACAGTGTAACATCCTTAGGAAGCTACTAATCAATGTAGGTTAATTAAGAAGAAAACACCAACACCTTTCTTCCTGGATAACTGATCTACTGGGTTTTGGCCAATAACTTAGGGCTGATCAGGGTGAGGGGCCGTTTCAGAAAGGGTAGTTTTCTGAAAGGAGTAAGAGCTAGTAACTCAGATGACTTCCAAATTGCACTGACTTGGCTCTTATGACCATCACCTTTATGACCTTGTTTATTATATACAGGACTCCAGAGAAATTACTAGTATTTATATTTACCATTGTTTAACAGCTGTGGGGTAGGCTGGTAACAGGCCAGTGCAGTCTGGTGGAAAGGAAGGTAGAACACTTGGATTGTAATGATGTACCATTTGACTTAGGGAATCCTTAGATTTCTAAAACAAGGAAAATTTTAGTTTTATGAGAAACTGCCAAACTGTTTTCTAGAGTGGCTGTATCATCTTTAATTCTAACCAGCAACATGTGAGAGATTAGTTTCTCCACATACTCACCAGCACTTGGTATTGTCACTATTATTTTTAGTTTTTCCTTAATGGATATATCATTGTCCTTAAACTATTTTAAGACTTTTGGGTATACGTGTTCTCAGCTTTAAGGCCTCAGCTGGATCTCTTTAGACAACTAGAATTCTAAGTCCATTGTGATATTGCATTGCACAATGATTCAAATAACCTCTGACTTAATATACACTAAGATCTACCAGGAAGTAATTAGGATGTTAATCAGAAGTCACATACAGTTCAGCAGGAGTATTAGCTTGAACTTAGGGTACATTTTCTGATGGGTTTCATATTTCTTGGGCATATCTTGTGGAATGATGGAGTGTCTGCCTGAAATCTATTTGTATGAGAGACTGAGAAGTTTCTCCTTGTCTCAAAGAAGAGTCCAACAGACCAGTTTGCCTAGAAACAGTCTCCAGATTGTCAGTTGGAGGAGCGGCACAGATTTGTGGCTGGATGATATTTGCCAGTTGGATTGGTCTGCTGGTTTTATGTCCACTTTTTGCCCAAGTTATATATAACCAAATTCAGCATGGGAAAGTGGTGGAGGCTGCAAATAAAAAAAATCGGCATTTTTACAAAAGATTCTTGAAGACATTGAGATTTAAAGAAATACATTGATTGAGCACTCTTGAAACCAAGTACCATATAAAGTGCAAGAGATGTCCCCATACTTCTGCAAAGGAATGACAGCTGAGCTCTAGCACCTGGCTGTCTCTAGCGGGACGGTCGTCTGGAGGCAGAACCACAGGGCTGCAGTTAGAGGCAGCAGGAGTGGGGGAGGTCGTATGAACAGATCTGTAGGCAGTAGGAGGCAGCATCCTTGTTATGTCATCATTTTCTCATTTTAGGTTCTGAAAATGGTGAAGTGTTCTCAAGTAGCAGATACTAGAGTGAAATATGAAAATATCTGGGCAACAGATACATCTCAGCAGTTTCTCTTTTCTTTTTCACTGTAGTATATTTTTTATTGTATGCTAATCTATTGTAGCTTTTTTAGGTTCAAGCATACTTGAATTTTCAATCCATCAGTTGAGCTGTGTTAGAGTTACAATGGTACTGGGCAATACGTCATCACTTTTTTATACCAAGTGCAGTTTTAAGATGGAAAGGCCAGTGTGTCTTGCTTTGTCTTTTTGTTCTAGGAGAGAGAGGGATGAGTGGGTCACACGCTGGTACACAGAATGTGCTGCTGTGGAAGGACCTTCTCCTCCCGTGTTCCTCCCCTCACAGCCACCGATCACGCTCCAGCAGTATCAGCTTCTCAAATCTGGGGACCCAAATGTTCCCATTTGTAGTGCCCTGTCACAGCACTCTTGACTGTCTTCTGTAAGTTTTAGTGCTTTATGCTCATACCAGTCAGAAGGATTGCTCTAAAATAAATCCAATACTTGACTTTAGCTTTCAGCAGCA